CCCCCGGACCCTGGGTCACTCTGAGCAGCGTAGCTGGGCTAACCCAGACCTCTGGGGAAGCCGCGACCAACGGTCTGACCTAAGATTCCAGTCACAGAACTCAACTTGCGTATTGCCCCACAACCAAAAACCCAGATACCAGAAAACCTGCGGGTGAAAAGCCCTAGCTCACAGGGCCCACAGGGGAAAATAGCAGGTGTCAGACATCTATATTTGAACACGAATCCTGAAACGTCAGCTTTCACTGATGCCAGAGTCTCTCCTCCTTATAAATGCAAATCCAAGGTGAAAGCTGGAAACTTCATCTCAAGAGGGAGCCCCTCTCTTCCCTTCCTGGCACACAACAGGCGCTCAATAAAGGCTGAGTGGATGAGTAGCAGGAGCTAACATGGAGAGTGAGCTCCAAATCAGGCGTTTATAGGGACTGATTTCTGAAGGGAATTGAGGGGCTACTCTCTGGCCCCCATCGCCCTTTGGAGAAACCACTAATTGATCAGAGGATCTCAGCCAGGCACATCTGACGATGCCTGGAGACATTTTTGGTTGCCACGGCTGGGAGAAGGGTATTGGCATCTAGTGGGTAGAGGCCCGGGACGCTGCTAACATCCTGCAGTGCACGGGACAGCCTTCCCCTCGCTCCCAACAAAGAATGTCACAGTGCCGAGGCTGAGATACCCTAGCTTTCAGCAAGTGTCACCGTGAACAGCCTGTGCCAGACAAACCCACAGAAAACTGGGTGTCCTGTGAGTTTCGAATGTTTTGGAATATTTGTTTGGAACAGGCTGGAAAAGAGGCGTCAGAGAGGGGCTCAGTGACGCCGGCCAGCCAGTGGCAGTATCTACCTGCCACTGTAGACACTGCCCGAGGCGGGTCCAGGGCAGGAGCACCTCCCAGGCCCCTCCAGGAAGGCCTGTCACACGCACTGGACAGCACCGCCATGAAGTCTGTCCCGAGAGCATACCTGCGTCGTTCTGCCCACCAAAAAGTTTCCGGCAAACTTTCTCCGGAGGAGAAAGACTGGGGGTAATTTCTGAGACGCAGCAGAACTGACACGAGGTCAAGCAGAGTGCCAGGAAAACCGTGTGCCAGGAGTCCTTTCCTCAAAAGTAGGCGCAGAGAGCTCCCTACCCGGCTGGGAGCTTTTCAAAAGAAAGACGTATTTTCCCCTGTCGCATGGTTGGGGTAGCACCCTCACCGCTCAACTCTCAGAAAAGATGGGGCCCCAGGAGTGTCTGTTAAAGTCAAGCCTATTCTGGCAGGCTCCCACCCTCCCAGGTACAACGGGGTGCTGCCGATTTCTTCTTCCAGCCCTCAAGTTCAAAGAGGACCTGCCCTGGGGGCCCATCAAGTGTGGTGTGGGAGAAACAACCTGGCCTGGGGCTAGTGTGGATTGGGGACTTTGGGTAAAGCTCTCCTTCTCAGACTCCCTCAGCTGTAAACCGAGGGCTCGAACCCCAAGCTTGCCCAGGCTCCTCCCAGGTCTGAAATCTGGGCAAGTGAAGACCACACAGGGGAGCCAGCACCAGACGGCAGGAAGCCAGGTTCAGCCTGGAGGCCTCCAGCCAGACTTTGGAGCACAGAGATCCTATCTTGAAAGACTAGAATTTTAGATTTCAAATATCATGGTCTCATTTTTCAGATGAGGAAAGTGAGGCCCAGGGTGGTCAATGTCCTTTTGCAGAAAGAAAGTGCCTTATATAAGAGGAGCTGTGTGGACACGGTCCCAGGCTCACCTCCAAACCCGTCTGCACGCAGAGTTCTAGTAGCAAACAACTCCCAACACGTAGTAGGTGAAATATCCAGCAGCCACAAGCAGTTTCTTTCCTTTTTTCCTTTTTCCTTCCCTCCTTCCTTCCTATCTTTTGGTGTAAAGAAACTCCAGGAAACCCCAGAACTTCAGGCCTCGCCCCAGTCTTTAAGAGAAATCTGATTAACACTTGCAAAAAATTGTTACGTTATACCAGCATTTTTAAGATTGGTTCCCTTCCTGCCTTGTGGCTTTCTTCCAATAAGTAGGGGGCTGTGTGTACACAGAGCGTGGGACAAACTGGGGCACCCAAGGGACCAGTTCCAGCCACTAACCTCAAGGGTCCCATTCAAATGCCACTGGTGGGGAAGTGCACAGGGTGAAGGCAAGGAATTTAAAGAGAGGCCTTGGTGTCAGCCAAAACATCATTAAGGGCTGATTAGCCCAAGATGGGACAGAAATAAGAATGATGTATTAAAAAGAAAAAAGTCCTGAACATAAAGACAAGAGCAGAATGTTCCACAATGCCCAGCCCTCGGAATAAGGGTGACACAACAGTGTGTACCCCTTGGGCAGAAGGTCCCCTAAGGCAGCTTTACAGAGTGAGGGGGAAAAAGACGGCACTGAGGGTACTTAAGCAGCAATCCAGCCAGCAGCAGCGAGACTCCAAACATGTGCGAACATATTTTAATAATATCCTCGTGCATCTCATTAGCCTCCTGAGTTCACAAAGGGCCTTTGGGAAGGCAAGTCAGTTCCGCAAACGCAGGCTCTGGGCAGGTTCTCCTGGCACCTCGCTGGCCTGGCAGGGCAGCTGGGGTGGGGTGGGGACGGGTCGGGGGAGAGCAGGGCTTGCAGCTCCAGAGTGGGAGGGAGTGCCTGGAGGTGGACAGAAGGACCCACCACCACAGCCCGGCCACACTGCTTATTTTTTACCTCCTGCGCTTCACCATAGAGGCTCAGGGGCCACAAACTGTGGCAGCCGCCAGCGGAAACTGGCTTATGAGTCACCCAGCAACTGCCCTCGTTCCCTGGTTCGGTGGTGGCTGCCTGGGCTCCTGGCCCCAGCTGGAGGAAGGCTGGCCCGAGCAGGCAAGGGCTGTGTGCTCCTTCACCTGGGGTGCTTTGGGGTGAGGATGGAGAAACTAAAGCTCAGAGAGGCAAAAATGTCCCAAAAAAGGCGGGCTGCGGAGAGGGCACAGGCTAGAAGCCAGAACCCAGGGAGTGGTGGCTCAGTTCCCCCCCCAACCAAACGTCCCTCTGGGTGAGCTGCGTATGAAGGAAGTAGAGACGTACTTGTCTCAACTTCTGGATGCACAGGGTGTGGACGTCAGCCACAAGGTTCAAAACCCCGCTCTCCACCCTTGGTCCACTGCCCCCTTTCAGGGCAAGGCAGTCCCGAGCACAAACAGCCCCAAACTTTGACTCATCTGTAACCGCTGTCCCAGCCAGACTGAACCAAGCTGTCCAGACAGAGGCTATTTATAGGTGCGTCGGGGACACAGACACTGGCACAATGACACACACACTCAGGGTCCACGTTGGGCCAGACGCACCAGCGCTGAGCCCTGGATTCAGACACCTGGACACAATGGTCCCCAGTCCCGGCCGAACCCAGACCAGACCCCCAGAGACATGCACGCACTCAAGAGTGGCCCCAGACCCGGACACAGCGGGGATCACAGAGGCGCAGAAACTGGCACACTCCCTAGAAGGACCGAGACTGAGACCCAGACACACCAGAGACGCCAAAGACCCAGACAGAGCCACGCAGACACGCACACTCCACAGACGCACGGAAATCCACTCACAGAGACCGAGACACAGCGCCACAAACACTCCAGACACACACACCCCGAGCCCCAGACACCTCGCAGACCAGACAGTGTCTCACATGCCCCACCCCCCGCCCAAAGTTGATAAAGAGCCGGCCTAATTGCTCCATCGCGGCTGCCCCTCAGGGAAATAAAATTGAAACTTCACGGATCCGCTCGCCCCGGCCCTCCCGCGCCCTGCGCAGCCGCTGGGCCCCGGGTCCGAGTCCGGGCGGGCGGGGCGCGGGCAGCGGGGGCCGTGCCAGGCTCGCAGCGCCGCGGGACAAAGCCGGGCCGGCCGCCAGCTGCCGCGAGCCGGGAGGGCGCGCCCCGGGCGCGGCGGGCGCAGCCGGAGCGCAGGGCGTTCGGCCCGAAGGGGCGCGCACGGCCGGGGCCCCTGCCCGCAGCTGCGCCCGACACCGGGTCCGAGCCCAACGGGGCTTCCGGGGAGGGGGGCGTGGGGTCACTCACTGATCTCCATGCTCTGGAACAAAGAGCGTTTGCAGTTGCACGTGCAGGAGACATTGGGCTGCCCGGCGGCGGCGGCGGCGGTGCTGTTGAACCCCATCAAGCGGTGCATGGACGGCGCGGCGGCGCGGCGCGGGGCGCGGAAGGCGCGGGGACGGCCGGGGGGGGCTCCGGCCGGCGCCCGGAGCTCGGGCCCCGCATGCAGGAGGCGCGCGGCGGGGGAGGCGCGCCCCGGCTCTCCGGGCTCGGGTCGCTGCCAAGTTCCCGGGGCGCCGCGGGGCTCAGTGCGCCGGGCCGCGCTCCTCTGCGCCCCCCGGCCGCCCCTCGGCTGCCCCGGGGGCGTCGGCAGTGCCCGCGGGTGGCGTCCGGAAAATGGGCTGGCAGCGGGGCGCGCGCTGCCGCCGGGCTGAGCCTCTGCCGCTAGCTCTCCCCAGCCGAGCGCCTCCGCCGCCGCCGCCGCCGCCTCCTCCTCATTCAAGTCCAAGGAGATCGGGTTTCGCTCCGAGACCGCGGTCGGAGGCAGGCAGACGGTCTGACGTCAGCGCTAGACGGGGCTGCCAGTTCCCACCGCGCGGGGGCCGGGGAGGGGGCGCGCGCTGCGCCAATCCCCGCCGAGGTTCCCCCGCACCCCCTCCCCGGGCCGGGGGGCGGGGTGACGGGAAACGAGGCGGGCTCTTAAAGGGCCAGAGCCAGACGGCCCGCGTAGACCCGGGACGGAGCGACAAAGGAGGGGCGCTGTGCCCCCTCCCCAACGGGGGTCAGCTCGGAACGCCGGACTCGCACAAGCCGGGTCCCGGGCAGGGGGGCTCGGTCTCAGCCCCACCCGTGTTGCCGGTGCCCCCTCCCCCGCCCGCGCCCCGGGGTCCTTGACCCAGGCTTTTGGGGTTAGCCCATCTTCTAAGGAGCCGGAGGTCCCCGGGGGCTCAGGGAAGGGAAATTGGAGAAAGGGGGGAGCCCCCAAGATCAATCACCCATTGCCTGATTTCACGGGAGACTCTCCGCCTTCGGTCCTGCAGCAGCACGAGGATCCCAGCCCATCAAGCCCCCGGTGCACTTTAACCCGAGCCCAAGGAGGTCGACCAGGAAAGACTGGAACTCGCGTAGACACGCCCGGGAGCCCTTGTCATGTAAATGGACGTCCGGACTGGTGTATTGTGGCTGCCCCAGCCGGCGGGGCCCGGGGCGAATCCACACCCATTGTCTGCTGCCCGAGGGGCCACCGGCTTGGGGGGCGCGGCTCCGGAGTTCCAAAGGGGTGGGGGGGGGCGATACTTTTATTTCATTAAGTTTTAATTACACGAGTGCTACAAGAACACATTCTCCTGATTTCAAAAGTATTAAAATATTACATAAGAGACCTCCCCTCCCTGGCCCAACTGCCACCTCTCAAGAATTTGGTGTGTCGCCTCTGAGACCCTTTCTTGAAGCTCTACTTATTTAACAAGCACCCGTGGAGTGCCTGCCCTGTGCCAGAACTTTCCAAACATTAACTCAACCTGGCACCAACTCGGTGAGGCAGAATATTATTATCCCCATTTTATAGACCAGGAAGCTGGCCAGGGAAGTCGCTGGCTAAGGTGGCACAATGGTGGAGCACCGGTTACAACCCGGGTCCCTGGGTAACTGCTTCCCCCCTCCCCCACATATTTCTAGTTCTTTAAATACCCACATATTCCTGTAATGCCTGGAAGTTTAGGGATGAGCTGAGCTGTTTGTGTATTCAGAGCAAAAAAAAGCTTTTAAAAATCATTATTATTTTCTTTTTAATAGATTGTACAGAGGAGGAAAAGCTAGGATTTGGGAAGCGAAGGTGCAGGTGGGGGAAGAACTTGTCTGGACCACAGGAGATTCATCCTGCGGAACTCAGAAAGCCAGCCCAGGAAGCGGGCAAGTTCTCTCCTTGCACCGGGCACAGTGGTGCCTCCAGAGCTCTCCCAGGAAGGTGGGAATGGTTTTTCTGGAGGTTCAAGGTCAGGGATGGTTGGCTGGTCCCGGCTTTATGGGGGACCCCAACAGTGTCCGGCCCAGAAAGAAGTTCAAAGGCACCGACCATCATTTGTTTGGGAGACGCTCACTCTTAGAGCCTCAGCCAGCCCTAGGTCAGGGCCCAAGCCGGGGACCAGGAGGGCGGCAGTGCCCAGGGCCCACCATGGAGGTGGACGGCACCCCTGCTGGGCATTCTCAGCCCCTGCCTAGAGGAAGGGCAGTGTTTCCAGCAGGTCTTTCACCAGGAAAGATCTTGCTGCAATTTGGCCTGTGCACCTTGGGAGAAAAGCAGGGCGGTGGGGGGGCGGGGGGCCGGTCTCTTGAGGGGCGCTGAAAATGTTTTCTGGGCCTGGAGATGGTCAAGGGTCCCACTCATTTCCTAGGCCAAAGGAGACCACCATCACCGCCCCTCCTTCCAGCTATCCTTCCTTCCTCCAATCAACAACTCTCACTGAGCAGGGAACTCCGCAATGGCAATGCCAGACACAGCCTGCCCTCCTGGAGGTCTCGCTGGAGACCTGGCTAGTCTGGCAGCGAAAACTCACACGTTGATTGTCTTGGAAATGAAGCAGCATTTACACAATCCCGGATGAACTGCCGACAGGCGAAAATAACCAGTTAATTCAGTGGATTAGAAAAAAACAAACCTCCCACAACACTTGACCTCCCATTGATCTGTCTGGGACAACAGCAGTGGCTACCGTTTATGGAGTGCGGCTATGTGGCTATGTGACCCCACTGTGCTGACAGTGTCACCTGGGATTGGCTTAGTGGTCTCAGCCCTAAGTCCAAAGTTGGTTCTGCTTGGGGACTTAATGCAGGGTGGCAGGCCTGTGGGACACAAAGATGAGTGTGACACAACAGTGCCTTCACCTCTCCAACCTCAGTTTCCTTTTCTGCAAAATGGGGCCACTAATGGCGCCTTCACATGCTGTGATTGTGAGGAATGACGGGGTCGATGCCTTGAAAGTGTGCGTGAAGAGGGCTGAATACATATTAGTTGCTATGCTATTTAATCCTCATGGCAACTCTGGGAGGGAGGAGCTGCTATCATTTTATTTTCCATTTTACAGATGAGGGGACGGGCGATTTGGGTACCAACAGGGCCCTGGCTAAGGTGGGCAGTAGGAAAGGAGAAAACTGCTTTGGCAGGGGTGTAGGCTTGTGTGCCCAGGGCTGCCAGATAAAACACAGGATCCCGGTTAAATGTGAATTTCAGGCAAACAGCAAAGAACATTTAGTGTAAACACATCCCTTGCAATGTTTGGGACATACTTATACTAAAAATTTATGTGTTGCTTATAATGAAATTCAAATTTAACTGGACATCCTGTGTTTTTATTTGCTAGATCTTATAACCCTACGTATGCCGGACATTGTGGTGCTGGGAATTCAGGCGCGGGGTGCAGAGCCCGCTGTCAGGCCCAGCACACCGCACACACAGAAAAGTTCACAACTTGCTGATTCTACCCAGGGTTCTAGGGGCTGAGGAGGGAGGGCTCACTCTGCTGGGAGGGGGGCCGCGGGGGGCAGGAGGGGTGGGGGGATACCAATACCTGGAGGCCCGAGTCCTAGGGAGGAAGGCCACAGTCAGGCAAAGAAGTTGCCTTCATTCATTCAAGAAATATTGTGCCTCTATTCAGTGCCAGGCTCTGTGCTGGGGACTGGGCACAGGACTGTGAAGAAGGGAAACTCCGTGCCCTTGTGTGCCATCGCTGGGGACAAAAGGGACCGTAGACACACACGCGAGCCCGCAGCTCAGCAAGGTCGGGAGATCGTTTCAGACCTGGCGGTGAGCCCACGAGCCCATGCCCGGTGGGGTGCGATGGGGAGGCCCTCCCCCGGAGGTGGCATCTTATTCAACCTCTATTTACTGAGCACCTACGCGGGCTGGGCTCAAACCCCTGCCCTCATGGGGCTCGTATTTTTGCAGGTGAGACAGACAACGTGCGTGCAAGCAAATGAGTCCAAGTGACAATTTTGCAGAGGGAAAAGACCTGGAAAAATAAAAGGGAGAGGGTTTGAGGCTACTTGAGTCCAGAGGGTGGGCATGTAAGGGACAGTGGGGAGGGCGTCCCAGGCCGGGGGTAGCAGTGCCAAGGCCAAAGACATTGGTGGAAGAGGAACTGAGGGACCCTCATGGTCCCCAGAAGTCTGGCATTGGGATGCATTTCCCAAGCCGGCTACGATGACGGGTTGTGAAACGGGTGTGTGAAATGCTTAGATTGTGAAACAGGCTGCTGCCAGGGACAGGCCCTTCAGGGACTCCAGACAGCATGTGCCGTCTGCCCTGACCGTGGGTAGAGTCTGCTGCAGAGGGATATTAAAAGGTCTTGTCCGAGCCACAAGGAGGCTTTGTTCCCAGTGGCTTCACGGGTGTGCGACCCCCCTGCTCCAACAGCTCCATGCTTGGAAGGGCCTTGGGCTTCGCTTAATTCTCTGCTGTTTCCATCTTGAAATTCATAATGATAGTTTTTCAGCAAGGCGCCCTGCAAATTCTATAGCGGGTGCTGCTCAGGTGCCAGGCCTGCACTGGCAGCCTGCTGGGACCCCGTGGAAGCCAGTGGTGGGTTTTGGCCGCAGCTGAGGGTGGCTGGCAAGGTCCTGTGCCCACTGGCCAAGGGGGCTGGGCACAGTGGAAAGTGCCTGGTTGAGCCAGCAAAGGGCCTGATTGGAGAGTGGGCCATGGGGACAAGGCAGGGAGGGCCTCCTCAGGGGCAGTTCTGCCCCCTCCTCCTGCTGCTTTCAGGCCTGCCCTGCAGAGGCAGCCTCCAGCGGTTTAGGCACCGCTCCTCCCCACTCAGCAACTTTGGAAACTCTTCCAGCCGAGTCAATTTTCCCCCAAGTCCTTCCTGTGGTTCATTCAGGCCCTCAGCGTTCCCAAAGCATCTTTGAACGTTTTTTTTGTTTGTCTTATTTTACTTTGAAACACTAATAAGAGCTAATGTTTGTTGGGCAATGTGAGTGTGCCAGGCCCTGTTCTAACCACTTCATAGTCTTCCATTTAATCATTCAACAAATATGCACTGGGATTCTACCGTGAGCCAGAACTGAGCTCACTGGATCCCCACAACGGCCCTCTGAGGTCCAAGCCGATATTCCCATTTGATGGGTGGGGACACTGAGGCTCGGGACCCACACGTGAGGTGCAGCTGAGATGTGAATGCAGGTGCTTGGGCCGCCATGGCAAACGGTGCCTTCTGCACCCTTCTCCATCCTGCTGCCTCTGCCTGGGACCTCCCTGGCCGTGCACCCTGGACTCAGGCAACACTGTCCCCCTCGGCTCCCTAAGATCCACCATTTGCCCCATTGCTTGGTGGTGTTTGTTTGTAAAACCTCGTCTCCAGAAATGAAGGACTTCTGCAGACAAGTGAGGCTGGAGGCTGGGCAGTGAGAGAGGCCCCTCCAGCCACCTGCTCCAGAATTCTGTGTGGGTGACCTCAGCAGGTGGCTTCACCTCCCTGAACCTGCATCCCCTCTCCACTAAGCAAGGGCAGGAACAGCATTTCACAGCAAGGTGGGGGGAGTGTGCTGAGGCCTCAGCACAGTGACCGGCGGCGGCACTGGAACCCGAGTGTTTGTGAGCGCAGATGCCCTCCGCTTGATTGGTAGCCCTGGGGCACAGGCCGGTCTGGCCAGTTTCCTGCTGCATCGGGAGCCTTGGCTGGGGTCTGCCGTGCAGCAAGTGCTTGGGTGGCATCTACCCACGTGAACATACAAATCACATTTTGACTACCTTCATTCCTTACTAACAATTCTTCCCTGCTCACTCAGCCCCCCACCTCCAAGTATCCTCTTCCAACCAAGTGTCTGGAAGCCAGTAACCTGAGCAAGTGCCTACCAAGAAGAACAGCAAGTACTTGCCTGGTACCAAAACCAGAACCAGAAGTCTTAACCATTAGGATGCACGGTGTGTGAGTGTGAGTGTGTGTGTGTGTGTGTGTGTGTATGTAGTTTGTATTGTGGGTTTGTGGGTGTGTGCGTTGCATATATGGGTGGGTTATATATATGCATGTTCATTCTGTGTGTGAGGGTGTGTGTTTGTATATGTGTGCTGTGAGTGTGTACGTAGTCCCTGTTACGGGTTTGGGGGTGCTGTTGCGTTGTAAGTATGTGTGGGGTGTGTATGTGAGTTTCGTGC